CTCTCTCTCTCCAGACTGCAGATGGTCCAGAATGCGGCAGCTCGATTGCTGACGGGTACACGAAAGCGGGAACACATCACCCCCGTTCTTGCCTCTCTTCACTGGCTACCTGTCCATTTTAGGATTCAGTTATTATTGTTTTTAAATCTCTTAATGGTTTAGCACCTAAATATCTGTCCGACCTGATTAAGCTGTATGCTCCGCTAAGAGCACTTAGGTCTGCTGACCATTTGCTTTTAGTTATCCCACGGGTAAAGTTGAAGAGCAGGGGTGACCGAGCATTTGCAGTGGCGGCCCCAAAGCTCTGGAATAGTTTGCCCCTCTATACATTAGACAGGCTCAAACACTTGCTGTCTTTAAATCTAGCTTAAAAACTCATTTTTATAGTCTGGCATTTGACTACATGAGAGCTGCTTTCTTCTATTGTTTTATGGTGTTTTATTGTGTTTTTTTGTGTTGTTGACTGTTTGTAATCACTGACATTTTTATTGACAGATGGATGGATGGATGGATGGATGGATAGATAGATGACAGATGGATGGATGGATGGATGGATGGATAGATAGATGACAGATGGATGGATGGATGGATGGATGGATAGATAGATGACAGATGGATGGATGGATGGATGGATGGATAGATAGATGACAGATGGATGGATGGATGGATGGATGGATAGATAGATGACAGATGGATGGATGGATGGGATGGATGATAGATGGATGATAGATGGATGGATGGATGGATGGATGGATGGATAGATGGATGATAGATAGATAGATCAATCTTGTTTGTAAGTAATTCATCATGTTCAGATGTAAAGCGTTGTCTCTTGTCAGCTGAATGTGGTTTTTGTGACAGGATTCAGAAAGCCACCGAGTCTCTGAAGATGTTCCAGCCGGCGGCGACGCAGTCGTTTGAGGAGTTTGTGCTGGACACGTCGAAGGAGGAGCTCTTACTGAAGGAGCTGAGCTTCAGCGGCGGTGAGAATGAAGCGCTCGCGTTCCCTGAGCCGCTGCGCTGTTAGCGGAAGCTCTTTAGCGGAGTAATCCACTTACAGGCTTCACCAAGAGCGCCGCACTCAGATGCTTGTGTAACGTCAAAGCCAGTTAGTACGGGGTTAAAGGTGAACGATGGTGTTTTCTTCTGCTGATCTGCACAGACGCGCTCGCTCGTCCTTGAGCTGTGAGGTCAGTCCTGCTGAGCAAAGGCTCTCAGGGAGCGGATGGAGAATCAGTGCGGCTTTATCCTGATTAGCACTGTGCACCGTTAGTGCGACTCGCTCTTATTTTAACGTTCTTAAGATGCGTTCACCTGTTTAGATGGCATCTGCAGAAACGCAGGTGCGTTCTTCCAGGAAGTTATTGATCAGCGCTAATGCTTTTGACGGCTGTAATCTCTATCATGGCAGCTGTGTGCTGTAATGTGATTGGCCGACGAGGCCAAACTCAGCGATGCAATTCCATCATCAGCTTTAATTCTGCCGCAGTGCAACAGATTCTCTTCCACTCCATGTTTTGTTCTGCCATATTTCCTGGTGCTGCCGTCTCACGGTCTCCTCCGTCCGGATTAATGCATCTCCTGTTTGGATCAATAGCCTGTTATTCGCAGAGAAGCGTTTGGGCTCTTGGCAG